ACTGTAATTCAGATACTACTGGTTTGTAATAAGTTTGTAAATGAATGATTGGGGCTGAATAGTGAATATCGGGGGGGGGGGTATGCATGTTTATTTCTATGGGTAGAAAACATGTTTATAGATTTTTTATTTACCTATTTGCGCAATAGATAACCTGCTTAGGACATGCATTTCATATGTTAGAAATCCTGTTTTAGGTCTTTTATTATCAGCATATTATTGTACTCACTTCGTAATCTTAATTATTAACAAACCGTCATTACTGCATTGGCATAGTAGAGATCATGTTTTAGGAACTCTTCTGTGCATTAGACAGCCTGCTGCTTAGAGTTTTATACTTATCTGGATTGCAATTGTCAAAACGCCTATTAGGATGCTTAATCCATTAATACAAGTACTATGCGTATCCTTTCTTTTTAAATCAGAATCAAATATGCATGTACTCTTTAAGACAATCAGACAATGTATATGACGCCTAGGCAAACTTTAGGCCTAATAAGAATTGATTAATCATGTGGTTACCAGTTTAAGACTAATTAGCCTCTTTTAATTTTGAACTCTGCTGCTCCCATTCTTATTTTTGATTCTCTGAACTTCACTCTGTTTTACTAAACTCTCGCCCTACTTTGAAATGATCTCCAAATTATGTATCTGTTCTACTATGTTTTCTACTAGGTTACCCTTTTTTGCCCAGAATCGTGCTATTATTTTCAAAATATTTATCCTACGTCTTGTCAAGTTAATGTATCTCCATGCCTATACTCTATTTACAAAGAATGTTTTAACGATTTTATCTATATTTTTCACTAACTCCTAAACTGCTGTATACTTCTAAATCCTACTACTGTCCCAAGTCGTATTTCTGCAAACCGAGCATTTCTTCAAATCACTTAGTCTTAATTAAGCTTCTGCTTTCACTGAAACTCACTGTTTTTATTTCAACATTCCGGCTTTTAAAAGTCTTGTCTTTGAGACCTTAAATGTGCAGTCCTATTTGTTATGTATGTCGCTTAGCATTTTTGCCTTTAAACTTAAGGGTTCAGCCTAGTCCCCACCACGTAGGAATAGTGGTCCTAAATACCCTCCATGACTTATAGGACGCGATGGGTAATAGCACGCAATAAGTATTCGTGACCAACTCACGCGTTTAATAACCTTTATGGGGTGGGAAGGGTAGAATATGGATATGATGACCACGCGATAACACCGCGTGTATATACGGTTACCGGGTGTTGTGTGGGGTGATCCATATTGATTATAAACCTAGGACCCCCCTTTCCCTTTATTTATTTTTTCATTTATTGTTTAAATCTTTTCTTGAAATTTTTGCCCTCTTTATCTCTCCTCAAATTTCCATTTTACTTGCAATATTATGTGAAAACTCCCTCTATTTGAACCCTTATTTGCTTACTTGTTAAGTGAAGTCACAATTGTAACATGGCCGGGAACCACACTAGTGGATCTTGGGGGGTGCCTAACACCTTCCCCTCGAGATAATTTCTAGCCCTTACCCAAACTCTGGTTTTCAAACTCAAAAACCTTTTTTTTGTGTCCTAATGCACTTAATCTTTAGGTGGCGACTCTTCAAATTCCAAAACAAAACCCAAATCCCAAAAGGGAAAAGAGTTGTCCTCCCAAATGTCGTAAACCCGATTTCGCCTTTAAGAAGAAAAAGGGGGCATCGACAGCATGACGACTCTTCTGGGGATTTTCTCCTAGGCTTTTACCGTTACATGTTATTTGTGACTTTATTGCTTCTTTATTTCTTTTATTTAATGTCTTTATTTCTCTTCTACTTCGAAACTGACTTGGCTTTTGCTTTCTTTTCTTGCTTTTACCGTTTTCCTTCAGTACTGTTGTAATCATGAGCAATTATTGTAATTATTATTTTATGAACGTGCAGATACGTGACAATTTGTTCCATTCTTGTAATTGCATCTTCAACATCATATTCCACTCGTGCCAAACAAATACCATAGCAACGCTTATAATGAGTGGTTGCACCCTTCCAATATATCACCCCCTAAATTTGGTAAAGGTGTATTTGCGGTAAAACCAGTCGATCAGCGGTTCCGTGCCTTTCCCTCTTGAGTTGTCCGCGCAAGGGTACCGGTCTAATATCCCATAGAAACCTTACTATGTTTTAAATGTGCGTGCATCACTGTCAAACCTAGTCGAGTCGGTTATGCTGTCCACATAATGACTCTTTAAGATAGCCTTGTCCAAAGTCCACTAGGTTTCCTTGGAACCCAAACAGACGCCACCATATTCTGTGCATTTATTTGGAGAACTAAATGCCGTTTATGCTAATTATTGGTTTAAATAATCGAGTCCGGCGGGGTAAGGGCCTAACACTTTGTTTTACAAAAATGAGGCACGAAGTCCCCAGATTCGGCATGGTAACCAACATTCACCTAAGGTTGCTAAGCTGGTGGGAAGACCTTCACTCCAGCGATCAGACTCTCGTCCGCAAATACATGGAAAATTTGCCTTCCCTTTTGGAAATTTAGCCCGACAACAAAATCATAGAGGCTGCAACCTTATTCTGGGACAGTGATAGATCAGTGTTTCGCTTCGGGGACCTTGAAATGACCCCTTTGCTTGAAGAAATAGGAGGGCTAGCTTGTATTCCTTGGGAGACTCCGGGTTTGCTTATGCCAGAATATCGCAAGGGTAGAGGTTTCCTCAAGATGATGGGACTGAAGAAAAACCCAGACTTGACTTGTTTGAAGGACTCTTACATTCCTTTCGAATATCTATACGAGAGGTACGGCCATAGCAAGTCCTACCGCACCTACGCAGATGAATTTGCCCTCACCTCATTGGGGCATATCCACAGAAGAGTCTTCATCTTCATATTCTGCTTTTTGGGGATGATAGTATTTCCCATGAAGAAGGCTAGGATCCATACCAGACTGACCATGGTTACCAAGACTCTAATGGAAGGGATTGGCGGGCAGCCTTTCAGCATAGTACCAATGATTGTCGCAGAGATATACCGAGCCCTAGAAAAATGTCAGCAAGGGGCCAATCACTTTGAGGGCTGTAACTTACTACTCCAACTCTGGCTCATGGAGCACCTCCAAAGGGGTGAATTTCGGCAAGAGATCCTACGCAAGGACTGGGATGATCATATCGCCTTCAATCAGCCAAGGCGAATGAACTATATGCCTAACATGTTCGCTCAACCAGAAGACGCTAAAGGATGGGTAGAGTTGTTTGAAAAATCTGAAAGAAGACCNGTCCGATTTGATGGACAGGTTCAGATTCAATATGGAGAATGCGCCAGATGTATTCTACATCCAGAATTTGAAGAAGAAACCGACAGAGACATTCCGCGAGTATGCTACTCGTTAGAGATAAGAAGCGGCTAAGGTCAGGCCGGCCTTAGAAGAAGAACAGATGAACAGGTTTTTTGTCCGAGCTCAGGACCCACAATATTATGAGAGGTTGATGCTGATTGAAGGCCAGAAATTTTCCAACATCATCAAGCTAGGGGAAAGGATCGAGGAAGTCATTAAAAGTGGTATGGTCACTAATTTTGAGGCATTGCAGGCTACCAACAAGGCTCTACAGTCTGGTGGCACGTCCAAGAAAAGGATGTGAGTGCCGTGATGGTTGCACAGAGAACAAAATCCCCAATAAAATACCTAACCTACCCAGTATCTCCTCTCACATATCAACCTACCTCCAAAGGGGTGAATTTCGGCAAGAGATCCTACGCAAGGACTGGGATGATCATATCGCCTTCAATCAGCCACGGCGAATGAACTATATGCCTAACATGTTCGCTCAACCAGAAGACGCTAAAGGATGGGTAGAGTTGTTTGAAAATCTGAAAGAAGACCAAGTGTAGTGGATGTTCGAATGGTTCCCTACTGAAGAGTTCATTGTCCGATCTTGGGATGCACCATTTCTTATTCTCATCGGCCTGAGAGGAACTTATCCTTATGTCCCTCTCCGAGTCATGAGACAGGCAGGAAGGAAGCAGGTTATACCAAGGGTCGGCAAAATGGGTCACTTTAGGGCCGATTTTCAGGATGACGATAGCCCTCCCAAGTGCCAAGCTCAGCACATGTGGCACTGCAAAATCATACTGGGAAGAGACTCTATTGAGCTGGATAGATACCATGCCGGTTGTTCTCCATACTACTCAGGTTGGCTGGAAGATGATCATGAAGGCTTGGGACAACCAGGGTTTGCTCGAGGTCACATAGTCGTCGATGAAAACGCTAAGGAGCGGCGTAAGTACAACCAATTGCGTAAGAGGATTCGGGAGCACGAGAATGAACACCGGGAAATTCAAGAAGCTCATCAAAAGTTGATCGAGGAATGGAAGGATATTGCTGTCAGCGCCAACAAACGACTAGGGTATTTGGAGCGAGGTTTGGTAGAATTGGAAAGGAAGTTCATCCAAAGGATCGAAAACTGCCAGAGTGCTGAGGGATGCGAAGGAGGACACTTGGCTAGAGCTTACTTGCTGCTGGGACTGCGTGAGTTGGTGAAGCTGTTCGATGGAGCTAAAGATGCCGAGTCTGGGGAAGGTCCTTCTGGGACCAAATAGTTAGGAGTCTTTCTTTTGCTTTAATGTAATAAGGCCTACGGTCATTAGTGACATTTTATTTCCGCTATTTTGGTGTCGTTTTGGGATTCGTCTTATTTTATCATTAAAATGAGGCATTTGGCATTATAAGTTCTCCAAATCAACTTGTCGCTAGGCCTACCTCGGGCACAACGAGGCACCCAGATTAGGACACGATTTATATTCTTGTACTATGTGTTTAAATATTGCAACGTTTTCTTCTTATAATCCTTACTGACTTGTTACCTTTTTGTTTTTACTTTTGTTTTATTCCCCTCCCCAAAAGGTTAGTTCGTGCACTTTGGCATCATCATCCTACTCCACAAGATCTAAGGGCCCTCCACCTCCTCCTCCTCTGAGTCCTATCAGAAACAATAACAAGGGAAAAATGGAAGACTTGAGCAACATCAGGAAGGAGAGCTGGGTTGAAAGGGTAGAGACTTCTCAGGGTATTCAGGTTTCCAAGGAAAGTGCCTCCCAGCTTGAACAAAAGTTATTGAAATTTCAGGAAGAACTGAACCAAGTTCGGAACTTGGCAAACTTATCATTTTCCCTCACTACCCCGGATGTCAATGCTCCAAATCCTACACCTCCACAAAACATCCCAAAACCACAAAACCAATCCGCTCCCCATCACCACTGCAACACATGCCACATTTCGAACAACACCCCACTACTCATTCCCGACCCACTAAACTCCACAAATGATCATCCCCACCACACCCCCATCTATGTGGAAACCATACCACAATATACTCAACCTATTTCAAGCACACCGGAGTCTGATGACAAAGACTCTCTCATCAGGAACCTGGCCGTAGAACTCAAGAAGCTGACTAGCCAAGTCTAGGGTGTTGAAGGAAACAAAGGTATCGAGGGGCTGAATTATGAGGACCTTTGCATTCAGCCAGATGTCGAACTTCCGGAGGGGTACAAACCTCCCAAGTTTGAGATGTTTGATGGCACAGGAGATCCCAGAATCCATTTGACGACATACTCCGATAAGCTGGTCGGAGTCGGAAGAGATGAAAAGGTTCGCATGAAGCTCTTCATGAGAAGTTTGAAAGGGGATGCTCTATCTTGGTACATTAGCCAAGACCCCAAGAAGTGGACAAGCTGGGTAGGTATGGCGTTCGATTTCATGGACAGGTTCAGATTCAATATGGAGAATGCGCCAGATGTATTCTACATCCAGAATTTGAAGAAGAAACCGACAGAGACATTCCGCGAGTATGCTACTCGTTGGAGATAAGAAGCGGCTAAGTTCAGGCCGGCCTTAGAAGAAGAACAGATGAACAGGTTTTTTGTCCGAGCTCAGGACCCACAATATTATGAGAGGTTGATGCTGATTGAAGGCTAGAAATTTTCCAACATCATCAAGCTAGGGGAAAGGATCGAGGAAGTCATTAAAAGTGGTATGGTCACTAATTTTGAGGCATTGCAGGCTACCAACAAGGCTCTACAGTCTGGTGGCACGTCCAAGAAAAGGATGTGAGTGTCGTGATGGTTGCACAGAGAACAAAATCCCCAATAAAATACCAAACCTACCCAGTATCTCCTCTCACATATCAACCTACCCGTAATTACCAAGCACCCCCGCCTTCCTACCAAGCTCCACCACCTACTTACGAATCATCTCCACCTCCCACATATCAACCTACCTCACCAAGATATTCCCAACCCGCACCCGTCTACCAAGCCTATAATGCTCAGCCCTCTCACTATCAGTCACCTCCCACCCGCCAAAACTTCCCTAGACCACGCCCTAACTTCGACCGTAGACATCCCAAGCAATACACCACCATCACCGAACCAATCGACAACCTGTATGAAAGGCTCAAAGCTACTGGTTACGTCACCCCTATCCCCGCCATAACTCCAGAAAATCCTTTCCAATGGGTCAACCCGAACAAAACCTGTGCATATCACTCCGGCATGAAGGGTAACACCATTGATGAGTGCCGCTCCCTGAAGGACAAGATTCAGGCCTTGATTGACAACAAAACCATTGTAGCAAAGGAGCCTGCTCCGAACGTCCGCAACAACCGTCTGCCTGACCACAAAGGGGGAGGCGTTCATATGATAGAAATAGAAGATGATTGGGACCCTAAAGTGTCGATTGGATTGATTGCGGAGGGTGACAATCAAAAGAAACCAACAATCACTCTTAATCCGATTATTGTCCAGATCTAGTTTTCTAGGGATGCTGAAGGGAACATATCCACACCACTCGAACTTGAAGCACCATCTTCTGCCAAGGCGCCAGGACCAATTGAGGTTGAGTTTGGATCCCCGAAAGCACCTGTGCCATTTGAAGTTGCCGTGTTACCTCCCAAAACAAGGGTACCCATTCCTGTAGCAATGTCAACCATAGCACCATTCCATACGAAGGCCATTCCTTGGGATTACACCGCCGAGGCGAGAAGGAAAGGGAAAACCAAATCTGGAGAAGCAATTGCAGCACAGGGTATGACCCGAACTGGCAGGGTTTATACTCCCAAACATTTGGTTGAATCAAGTAAGCAGGCCTCTGGACGATCCACCGAAACTCCTCCTGATGACCTCTGGATGAAGATACAAGCAAATGAGTACTCAGTCATCGATCAGTTGAACAAGACGCCAGCACAGATCTCCATCCTAGCTCTGCTATAAAGCTCCGATACACATAAAAATGCCTTATTGAAAGTGCAGAGCATAGCATATGTGCCCAGCAACATAACTGGAGGAGGAATGGAAAACATGGTAGGGCAAGTATTGGAGAGCCATAAAATTACTTTCCACGAAGATGAGCTGCCACCTAAAGGGTTGAGCCACAACAAGGCGCTGCACATCACTGTGCAATGCGAGGATTATTTCATCACCAGGATTTTGATTGACGGAGGGTCCAGCCTCAACATTGTCCATTGGTTACTCTCAGAACATTGGGAAAGAGCCTGCATGAGATCAAGGATGAGGCCATCAACGTCAAAGCTTTTGATGGCTCCCAAAGGTCCACTATTGGGGATATCAGTTTGTGTCTGCAAATGGGACCGACTTGGTTCGATGTTGATTTTCAAGTAATAGACATCCCAACATCTTACAACTTGCTATTGGGACGACCTTGGATTCACACCGCTGGAGCTGTAGCATCAACCCTGAACTAGACAGTGAAGTTCGAGTGGAATCACCAAGAGGTGATTATTCATGGCGACGGTGGTAATCCCATATACAGTCGCCAGACCATCCCAGTGATTGGAGGAAGAAGGAAGATAGGCGGAGAAACCTACCATCACATTGAGCGAGTCAACGCCGTAGACAAGGATAAGTGGTGGGATGACAAGATCGAAAGTATACTGAATTGGAGCGTATATGAACCTGGCAAGGGGCTCGGCAAGAACCTTCAGTGAATCGCCAAACCCATCAAGCTGAAGAAATATGGGACCACTTTCGGTTTGGGGTATGAATACACTTGGGAGGAGTTCAACCACTGGTCGCCACCATGGCGCAGTCCCTACTACCCACTGGAGCATCCGATACCTCGCCTGGAGCAGACTTTCCAGCCAGCAGATGTCATATATGGGTCAGAAGAAGAGGAAGCACTGGCAGCAATGAGGAATCTGTTTTTGGAAGACGACAATATGGACTGCTGTGTCATTTTTGAGGAGGAAGGAGAGGAAGGCCCTTCCAAACAAGCTGTGAGCCGAGGAGCGCGCCTCAACAATTGGTCTATCAGAACCACCACGACCCGGAAAGCTTCGGGGTAGCAAGGCTGAACAAAGCACCATGCATCATCTTTATTTTTCGCTAGTTGATTTTCTTTCCGCATTTTATTTTCGAAAATAAGAGCTCCTATGTTCAAAACAATTATGAAGTTTATCAAAGCATTTCAGTTTCTTATATCAAAGCGCTTGTTATTTTTCTATCGTATACTTTATTTACACAGCATTACTATTACTTATCTTGATGAACCGACGATTGTGGCTTGCAACGAGACAACGCAACAAACGGATATAGACTCAGAAGAGGATGATATACCGGAAGAGGTCGTTAAAGAGGTTGAGAACTTTGAGAATAGGCCTAAGTCTAACTTGGACGAAACTGAGGTTATCAACTTGGGGGATACAGAGAATGTCAAGGGAACACGCATCAGTGTTTATCTGTCACCACCAGAAAAGGAAAAATACACAGAATTTCTAAGGGAATATGAGGACATATTCGCCTGGTCGTATGATGATATGACTGGTCTCAACACATCTATTGTAGCCCACAAACTGCCAACGGATCCAGCATGTCCGCCGGTAAAGCAGAAGCTCAGGAAGTTCAAGCCTGACATGAGTTTGAAAATCAAGGAAGAAGTCACCAAGCAGGTCAAAGCCAAGGTCCTCAGGGTAGTAGAGTATCCAACATGGTTAGCCAACATTGTGCCGGTGCCGAAGAAGGACGGGAAGGTCAGAGTCTGTGTCGACTACCGGGACCTCAACCGGGCCAGTCCGAAAGATGACTTCCCCTTGCCAAACATACATATTCTGATTGAGAACTGCGCCAAGCACGAGGTGCAGTTATTTGTCGATTGTTTTGCTGGGTATCATCAACTATGGATGGATGAGGAAGACGCTGAGAAAACGACTTTTATCACGCCATGGGGGATGTATTGTTACAAGATGATGCCGTTCGGGTTAAAGA